ACATATACATACATATACATACATATACATACATATACATACATATATATATATGCAGACATATGTATATATCTATATACATACATATGCATATACATACATGTATATATATATATGTACATATGAATGCATGTACATTTACATGTACATATATCTGTACATGTAACACACGTATAATATCTTATAATTCCCTGTAACAAAATCCGAAAGAGCACCGGGATCAAAGTGCTACCTCTCCCCTCTCCTCAGCCGCCTTCCTCGCGGCCCATGTTTTCCGGTGATGCAGGTCCTGCGATTTGTTTTTTTTTCCAAATGGATAAATGATGTTAGCAATAATATCCAATAATTGATAAAATACAAAGTTATTAGAATTCACTAGATGTTACTAGCAATCGATCATTGAGCACCCCTTCCTTCCAACCATTGGTTTCGCCAACATGACAGATTCCGCAGATGATTGAAAGGGGCTCCCCATTGGGACCGCCCGAATTCACAACACCATCACATATATGCCATTGGATACGGCCATTCATAGGTGACCATGGATATCAATCCGTAGCTCGGCTGGGATTGCAACCAAAGCATCTATAGATTTGGGTCTATGATTCAGGTTCTGAAAATTGCACATATGCCTCTCGTCTTGGACACAAGATAGTCACAGATAGTCTCTTGTAGGCACGTTCAAAGTTGGATTTGCTACAGTAATCCCTCATAATGAACCAACCTTTTGTCAATCCGTATTTGTTGCGGGGATGACCAGTCCCTTTCATGGGAAGGATACGTGCCATGTTTTGACCAAGCACCACTTTCTCACAACTCTCCTTGGAGTCGCTCTGCTTCTTTTTCCTCGAATGAGCAGCTCGCAAGGCCCTGCCCCCTCGCAGGCTCTTCCACGCTTATCTGGGTACGCCAAAATCTACATAGATCTACAGGTTGGATAATCGGTCTTCCTTGGACAACTGGCCTTTTGAGGGCGACTATGCCCAATTATGCCCAATTTCCAATCTCACCCATCTGTGAATTTCAACGACGAAACCCGGCTGAGCCAAGTTGCCACAGCTGGATTATCTTGTTCCACTCGCTGTATTTGCTTCGGAACCATTCCGAGGGCCTTGGAAGCGACGCGTGCAGAACGGAGAGTGGAGGAATAGTACAGAGCAGTCCTACAGAGCAGTCGCGCGAATAGAACCAATAGATTCTGAGGCTCATCATAGCTCATCAGCAAAATCGATGACAAAGCCACAACTCATAACCCATCATGTCCAATATATATATATATATAATCATGTGTATATATATATATATGAGTGACGAAGGCAACTTGAATAATCACACTTACAAAAGAAATTTCACGATCTTACACCTTGACTCACGCGAGTCATGATCACAATAAAAGCTTCAGAAACACCACATATCAAATCTCTAGACAAATGTTCAACCAGCATGCACACACACAAGATCTACGCAGTTGTCAAAACACCGTTTCACGGCTAGACAAGTGACAGCCATAGAATAATCATTCGTAAGCTGAACCAGTATGCCAAATTTGCAGTTACAGAGAGGATAAATCATGATCAAGCGCTGGATTTGGATGAATTGGGGTTATCAGTACACACCATATTTAATGTATATATATATATATACATATATATTATATGTATATATATTATATATATGTATATATATAATATATATGTATATATATTATATATATGTATATATATAATATATATGTATATATATATATAATATATGTATATATATATACATATTCATCAAAATACACACATATATAACAACCATATATAACAACCATATATTGAATATGTTAATACATCAATATATTATTATTAGTATAATTCACAGTACATTAATACATATATAAAACAATCACTTAAATATATTAAATATATTAAATTATTTATATATGAAATATATTAAACAATCACTTATCACCATATCATAGCCGAATCAAGTCTTCACTCTAAACAAACCATAAAATTGCCAGCGTAGCGTAGCCAAAGGGCTGCAGGTCTTCGACTCGTTGAGTCATTTTTCGTTCCAGCACCTCATTTGAGATCAACCACCAACAAGATCCACCAAGAAGATCAAAGAACGAATTGAAAATGGATGGATATGGATGGATGTGGATGGATATGGATGGATATGGATGGATTGAATATGCTTGAATCTGGTTTGGACCCATTTGGACCCAGGCACCCATTTCTTCAAGTACTCCTGGCTTTGGGCTTCTTTGTACCACACGAAGGTGAGCTCGTCATAGCCTGACAAGGGGGCAGGATGAGACCTCTGCATGCCTATGTTAGGGGAGGTTCCGGATTTTCGTCGAACAAACATGGACTTATGCTTGCCCAAAGTATTGTGAAAACTCAAGAGACAACAGCAGGGACTGGCACTGGTGACGAAAGGGGTGGCCTTCCTCCTTGCTCGGCAATGTGAACTTTTGGTATGATGATGACATCTCCTGCGGCAAAGTATCTGGCAACACACAGTCTGCCATCTTGAGTTCAAAGACATGTGCACAGACATGTTCACGATACAATTAATCATGGTTGCAACGCCGGAAATATCATGGAATATCTATTTGTTCAGAGGGCAACGATTGGAAAATTGCGAAGGATAAAGATCGGACGGCCGATTCTCTTCGCAAGTACTTGGTTTTTCGATGGTAATTGGATATGAAACAACAAGTTTGACATAATTTACCCTCTGCCTCTGGTAATTTAACATAACTATGGAAAATCACAACTTTCAATGGGAAAATCCACTATAAATGGCAATTTTCAATAGCTATTGATACCCAAGAGATCAGATTTTCAATGTGATTTTCTCACCAGTTCAGTCATAATCAGTCCTTGGAGGTCAGATCTGGCACCTCTTTGGGTCTGAAGCACAGCCTTAGTAGCCATGGCTTGGCTTTCATCAGTACCCTCCGGTACTCAAACGTGGCAAGCTGGGAAATCCACTGGTTCTTTTTTGGGCTTTCAACAGGAAAATTCACCATCATAAATGTTGTGTATTTTCCAGCACGCCATGTTTGACTACTGGAGGCGCCATCTACACTGGTTGGTTGGTGGTTAAGTCTACCCCTCTAAAAAAGATTAGAGTTAGTCAATTGGGATGATGACATTCCCAACTGAATGGAAAAAAAAGTCATGTTCCAAACAACCAACCAGATCATTAGTTCCCATTATATTCCCATCATATTCCCACCATTAAATCACCATTAAACCACTACAGGAATCATCCCGAAGCAGTTGACCTTCGCGGATTCAGCACTTGGCCGACCTGACTTTTTCTCCTCCGCGGTCAGTTCAACCTTCACCTGACGCACAGGAGCTCGCCTAAGTGGTTCCGTTTGTTTCAGAACTGAAGATTGGAAAAAAAACATGGAAAAAGCAAAAACCTAAAAAAAAACATTCTTGCAACATATGTTCAGCAGGTCTGCTTCTTGTCGTATTTCCATGTATTTCCCGCTGCCGCCATAAACTGTCCAGCCTCTTCCTCGACGACTTCCTCCTGGTGGTTGGTGATTGGCGACTTTGGTCCCATTCTTTTGGGATGAAAGCATCAGCATTTCTTAGGGAAGGGACGAATTCACCCAATATTTTGATGCTACATGTTTATACCACCCATTTATCGCAATTTGGGGTATGGTGATTGCTTCAACCACATTGCTGTCTGAAGTTTGTATGAAACCATAAGCCACTCAGCGTTGCTTCACTGCTAGACTGCATAAATGGGCAAACAGTACCTTCACGCATTTCCGCCCATATTTGGGTTGATCCAAAAACCGAGGTACAAAAACCGACCACGCTTTGGCAAGTTGAAGAGATGCCCCATGTTTGGACAAAATCTGGAAATTCCTAGAAATTCAATGAAGATCATCCGTTAAAACCAATGAAGATCAACACCAATTTGATCCAAATTGAGTCGAATTATCAATCAATGCTGTATGCATTTATATCGCAGGTGTGGATGGTGTTTCCATGTTTTTTTTTATCATCAGAAACAAGAGGAACTGTCTCCACCATGTACAGCTCCTCTGCCGCATCCCCTTCTGCTTCACCTGGGGCTATGGACGGCGTTCTTTTCCCTGCAGGAAAACATGCGTTTTCAATTCAACATGGATTCTACATCTGCAAAACAACACTCTTTTCAAATAGCTGTTCATGGATCCTACAACTGAAACAATGGTGATTCAACCATTGGAATACTGTAGTAAAAGAATCAATGGGGATAACAATGATCGGGACATAAGCGGTTTCACATCTGCCTGCTTCATCTTTCTCCTGAAGAAGCAGCTCTCTGTGCTGCAAAATCTCGGGAACATGGGCGGTGACATGTCCTAGTTAAACATCACCAAACTCATAAGAGGTATCATCTTGAACAATCTTTAACAACCATTTGAAGTTGATGTTTGAATTCCCCAAATGGGAAATTGACCAACCCACACTTCCCAGTCCTTCTCCCCTTCCTTTCCTTCAGCCTGTGTCAAGGCGTTGTGGGGGTGCCCATGCTACCCATGCCGAAGCTGGGGGCTGGGAAAATACGCTCGGGCACTTCTACTGGGAATATCAGAATCATTTGGCAAATTTCTGGCATTTCCGCAGCAGCTCACAAATCACAAACACGTTGTCTCCTTTTCTCAAAGTGTGTAACACTTGAGCATATACGTTTCTGCTGATAACAGGGCATCTGCCAAACAACCTGCGGGTATGGCAAGAACCCTTGCAGTCTGCAGGACAAATCATCTAACATGAGTACAGAACAACGCCCGACCTGACAAATTCGGGGCGACAAAATCCTTCCTACTAATAGGTGAGTGAGGATTTCAATCTCAAGTAATTCGCGCTGGCCCCAATTTGAATGACTGGTCACACACCTCATAGTTACTACAGTGTTAGGCGGACGTCATTTCCAAGGAAAAATGTATGTACACACGGACAGTAAACGTGTAGTTTACACGGTCTATATATTCATAATAGAGATGTAAATATGTATATATTACATTTATATGCGTACGATATATATATATACACATATCTGCAACATATCCACACACACAGATGTAATATGTGTACGTATATGTATATATGTATATGCATAATATATAGGAAAAAAATATATATATGTATATATGTATATGTATATATATATATGTATATATATACATGTATACATGTATGTATGTATTATATATTATATGTATATGATATACATGATCTTATATGTTGTATATATTCACATGTTTTTTAAAATTATCTTGTGATGTTCAAAAGAAACGTGAAACTCAAGCGTGACCATGGCCTTGGCTGCCTCCTCCTTCTTCTGGCGCCTCGGGAGTATCTAATTTTGAGCCAACATCTACCCATTGAACCAACCAGTAATGACCAGGGAGAATTTGCAAACGGATAGCAGTGGTCCGCAAATAGATGGATATGGCTTGCCTCGGGGACCTATGATACACCTGCAAAATCCTCCAAACATCCTGGCGTTCTGAGAGTGTCAGTGTCTTCTGCAAGTCTCTGGCGCTTTCCTCTGTTCCTCTAGCGCCTTTTTCCGCGCAGCTTCCTCCTCATCAAGACACCCAAGAATTTATAACTCCAGTGGCTGAAAACTGGCACCACCCCAAATCCCTGCGAGTGATTCTTTTCAAGAACTGCCAATGGATCTTCCACAGTCTACTTAAATGTCTACAGTAGGGTCCAAGAATTTTGGGAATGAAGTTCATGACTGACTCATGACATTCCCACACCATTGGTGCAGCATGGTGCAGCTCTGCCATACACCAGGCCTTTTTACGCGCCAACTCTGCCTCAGCTGCTTCCTTCTTCTCTTTCAGCAAGGCCTGATTCTTCCCAGCTATGCAGGGAACACATGGGGCCCATCATGGAACAATGCAATGCATGGTTCTCATGTGAATCAACTTGAATCCCACAGCTTTTCGCATTTTTCACTGATAAAAATCTATGGAAATCTTCATCTGTCCAGTCTGTCCAGAGGTTTTTCTGTGGACAGCAATCCATGACACGACTCTTGGCACGGTGCCAACCTGTTGGATGAAAGTCTTGTAGTCCTGAGGCGGCTCCCCCAGCATCACCTTTGCCACCTGAGACCACATCGGCAGTGGCATCGGCATCGGGAGGGCGCTATTGAGGGCTTCATCCACCCCAGGGGCCCCAACCACGACCTGCCAACACCGAAAATAAAGCATCAAGCAAACATATGCTGGTTGGTGGTATGCCTACCCCTCTGAAAAATATTAGTGAATTGGGATGATTATTCCCAATATATGGAAAAATAAAAAATGTTCCAAACCACCAACCAGTATGTCAAATTAGCATCGTCTGTCTCCACCATTGAAAAAGTCATCAGATTGATCTTGCCAACCATTTCCCACTGCCCACTAAGTCTAGGGGTTGTTTCACCATCGAAGCCCAAACATTCACCTTTCCTGCAAAAAAAAAAACATGCTTTATAAATGATCAACCAGTGCATTGAATATTGGTACCCTTTTCCAACAAACAACCTGAATATCATATCAAACTCGTTCTATCCCCATTGTAGTATCTGTTTTTCCTACTTCAATCCCTATGATTGATGATCAATCGCTATCTTTTCAAGTCACCTTTTGAGGTTGGTTAGATCACCATTTTTCATTATCAAATCACCATTTTTGTCGCTATTTTTGGACTGGGGCCAGGCCTTTTTGTAGCAATGGCCTGGGAAACGTGCAAGTATGCTACTGCGCCCCTCTGCCGTCAAGTTGGCTTTCACCTGACAGCTCGGTGATGTACCACAGCATCTAATTGTATGTATCTTACACATATATATATATATGTATATGTATACTGTATATATAAGAAAGTACAACAAACGATGTAATAAAATGAAATATGATAATGTGACATAATGTAACATAATATAACTATAATATAAATATAAGATAACACAACATCACACATAAAGTAATATAATACACCATATACATAATATATCTATATCTACCTGTATCTTTCCAGAATTGTATAGACGATGTTTTTTTTCCTAGCTGTATTACTATGATTTTCCCTATATACATGCACCCATCCTGTTCGCACCAGACATTTGATAGGTACCTCAGGGATGATGAAGTTGCGTGGCAGCACATTGGCTACGGCTTTCATGACCTTGGAATCTGGGAGTAAGATGGATCCCGTGATGCCTGGGAGGAAGATGGCAGAAATGAACAACATCTAATTACATATCTTATGCAACTGTCTATCCACAACACATAATAACAATACAGTATATGAATATCATAGCGTACAAACTTTGCCAAATAGTTTTTGTTGCGGAGTTTTTTTGGGGCATCGATCTGCAGTGATTTCACGATTGCTTCAGTCTGCAACACTATTGGCAAATCATTTATTGTCTGTAGACAATTTGGAGCAAACCTTTTCAAGTGCAGGAAATTAATATGACCACATCAATGATTTTTGATTCCTCTGAAGTGCAAAACATGGCTATGGCCC